TCTAGGTTGTATACTTTCGTGAGAGTCGTATAGGTTCGAGATATACTAGTAGCTTTCGACGTTTTGTTCCTTTTCTAATTTCTATATACGCGACTTTCAAATTTATTATACCAAAAATACTTGATTGTCTTGAATGTTATTATCAGCTTTACATCGACAACATGAAGCATGTGCTTTTGGACTTACAATCCCATACAAACTTTGTTATACTTTTCAAAAGTTTAGACAACGGGTAAAGCACTTACTGTTTTTTCTACACCTCTGATACTCTGTATTTTTGAAAGTTTTATAATACTTTCTGTTATTTACATGGTCATATTTTGTTTTTGCTTGAATTCCTTGTAGCCCCAGGGCCCATTGTAAAACCACCAAAGTGGTGATATTTCCAGGCTGAATAAAGACAGCAAAGACAAGTAGCCTCCGTAGCAGGCTTATAGAACTGGCCATGGGGGTTTGGTGGTCTTCGGCTGTTTTCTGATTAGACCAGTTCTAATAAAAAACGGGGGGAATTCAACCAGGCCGGCTATGTTGTCCATATATATAAATAAGAAAATAGCACATAAAAGCTCCCAAAGACCCTGAAGACCCCCAAAACCCCAGTTTTTGGCATGCTATGGAGGCTAAAACAAAAACATTCCCCGTTCGTTCTGCCTGTGTTTTTGTTCTCCTGTGAGCACCACCGGCTGTGCGCTGATCCACGTAATGTCCGCTAATCGACCGCTGCCGATGTCCATTGTCCAACGTGCCGCTGCCAGACTGACTAATGGAGTATGATAAAACATCCAGATGTAAACAACTTTTGTACGTATGCCTTAAAGTGTTCTCTTTCATACATTCTCTAAGCCCAGAAAGTTATAAATTATGTTAAATGTTACCTGTGTAGCAGTAGTATTGAAAGACCGATATTTGTAGAGCACTTAGTATTATATGGGATATATTAGGGAACACATTGTGTGTATGACGCCCGCCAGAAATGTTCGTGAATTATTGAACTTCAACCCACACACGTTATAAATATTAACTGTTCTATCCAGGAGCGTGCGTGCTTTAATACAATAGATTGTGATGTGTATAATATGAACAACGTCTCTTGTATCCAGAACTGTGCTTTATCCAGGGCCATACTCAGGCACGGTTCTATATACTGATGTTTTTACGGTACTTTTATGGTCACTATTTTCTTCATATCGCTTGTACAGTGAACTTATCATTACAGTTAACAAAAAAATCCTGGCCTTTCATTTTCCTGCACCTGTCCCCACCGTGAACAATTTTTCTCAGACCGTGAAATTTTGTTATCGTGAATTACAGTAGTCTAAGCGTATTCCGAACTTTTTAAGGGCAAATCTACGTTCTTGGATACACGTAAGACTATCTAGAACCGTGCCTGAATTTAAACCTAACCCAACCAGGCATAGATCTAGATAGGGACGACAATTCTGAATTTCTGAATATAATATTAACACCGCTGTGTTGTCTACCTTTGCAAGAAACCGAAGAAAAGTGCTTGAGTTGTACATGACGTCACGTTCAAACTATTGAAACACCCTGAGTGTTTGGTATGTTATGACTGGGTCAACACTGAAGAAAGAAAAACAATGTTCTTTCTGTGGGTAATGTTTGCTCGACCGCAGGTTTTGATGACAAAGTGTTACCGATATCACTTGAACAACTGTTAAACTGTGGTTATCACTATAAAAACAGCAAGACTATGGCACAATATAGATGGCGGGGCTTTTGAAAATATCAATTCGAACTCATATAATATTGGTGCACATATATATGAAGAGATTTTAAAGAGACACCCTGGCTTACATATTACCGAAACTCGTGATTACCCCACTCGATTGTAACAAAGACTTGTGCTAGCCTTCGTTGTTTGACTAATTAGGATTAGGTTTTATTCATAAGGTCTTATTCAATACATTTACTTTTTTTCTGTGCTCTGCCATACATTGTACCATGTGCGCAATAAAGTTCTTCTATTATCTCAGTCTGATAACAGATTCTATATTACTATCCTCAGGAGATACAGTCATGAGAAATTTTCTAGTATTCAAAACTTTGTCTAACACACAAATGGCACGTTGTTGCGCTACCAACGATCCTGAAACAAATAACGTTGAAGGTTTCGTTGGCGCATGTTGTCAACTTCTTGTTCTCCTTTTTCTGTCTCTGAATAGAACATTTCACGGCGTTTTAGTCGCAACTGAAGACGACGAGGACATTTTTGCGCTAAGTGCACTCCAGTACATTCTTGGCACACGTGTCATAGCGTTGAGTCAACAACCTCTAGTGTGATCTAATCCTCCACCCGTATCCACCTTAAGAGTACTTAGAAGTTGCCTTTTTTCTGACAAAGACGCCCTCAGGTGAAAATGATCTAGTTTTGACTAGGAACGACCCTGTTTTTTTCTCTCTTGACCTCTTGAAAGGCGACCACAACATTTTAAGATTTTACCCACAACGGTTTCCATACGCATAATAACAGGGAATGGACATGGCACTAGATACTTTGAACCTTGTGTGCTGTGGGTCTGGCATCCAGGCTAGCGTCTTTCACCCTGGTTGCCAACCCTATTATAGCTCCCGAGTCCTACATCCTCTCCGCAAAGGATGTAGGACTCGGGAGCTATAAATTATAAAATAGTTTAAGGGCTAAAGCGTCTTCTATTGACACTCGACTGTTTATGCACCGCATCGGATTTCCTTATTTAGAATCACCCACCTATGCTACCTTCCGCCCACGTAGGAAAAAAAAACGAAGAAAACGTGACGAGTCGTGTTTACATCAAAACAAGGCAGGAAACAGGTAACACAGAAACACAGGATGTTCTCTACGTAATCATTGGAAAGGAACTTGCAATGACCGTTGTACACAACATAGTTTCTGACTGCAGAGAAATGTTCTATTCAGAACCGTGCTTTAGCAGGAACTATGCCTAGAAACAGTTCTGGACAGTCCACGCGTATCCAGAACTGTGCCTGGGCAAATTTACGTCCTTGAATACGCAGAGACTATCCGGAACCTTGCCTGTTCATAATCCTAACCCGTTCAGGCATAGAACTAGATAGGCATGGTTCTGGATACAATAATAAGTAATGATACACATCCATGAGAAACACAGAAGTGTTGTTATGAGTGTTAAGGTTTTACTTTGTGACCCGGACTAACTTCTGAACCCTACCCTACGTTCTTGGCTACACCGAGACTACATGTATATACCGTGCCTGATTTTAACCCTAACCCGTACAGGAGTTCAGGCATAGAACTAGATTGGCACGGTCCTGGATACAATGCGAAGTTATCATTATGATATACGTACGTGATAGACACAAATAGTTCTGTTACGAGTCGTAAGGTTTTACTTCGTGACTTCGTGACATTTTGAATCATGAACGCGACTAACTTTTGAACCCTCCCGTTTGCTAAACAGCAGTGGTTTGTTTTTGATCAATTATGCCAGACAGACAGTAATTTAACCTGGCAGAGTTGGTCCTTTTCTATCACGCAATGTTTTGTTACGTCAGGTGAGACCACTAGCTACTAGTATAGTCTGCTATACTACAGGACCAGATTCTATTAGTACGTGAATACCGTACATACCTTACCTTAGACCCTAGTTCCTCCTTCAATCGTACATAGCCAGTAGGAAAACCCATAGATCTAGAACGTTCGTATTTTACACTAACAAGTGGTTTGTGGTTTATTTTCCACTAGCAATGTTTCAGTTTTACGTCAAGTGAGGCCACTAGCCGGCTATACTATAGGACTAGATTCTATTAGTACGTGAATACCGTACATACCTTACCTTAGACCCTAGTTCCTCCTTCAATCGTACATAGCTAGTAGGAAAACCCATAGATCTAGAACGTTCGTATTTTACAATAACAAGTGGTTTGTAGTTTATTTTCCACTAGCAATGTTTCAGTTTTACATCAGGTGAGGCCACTAGCTGTAGCCGGCTATACTGTAGGACTAGATTCTATTAGTACGTGAATACCGTACATACCTTACCTTAGACCTTAGTTCCTCCTGCAATCGTACATAGGTAGTAGGAAAACCCATAGATCTAGAACGTTCGTATTTTACACTAACAAGTGGTTTGTAGTTTATTTTCCACTAGCAATGTTTCACTGGTGAGTTAGGTGAGGCCACTAGCTATAGTCTGCTATCTATACTATAGGACCAGATTCTAATAGTACGTGAATACCGTACATAGGAAAATCCATAGATCAAATTGTTCGTATTTCACACGAACAAGCTTAAGTTTCCACTAGCAATGTGGTTTAATATTCCACCAGCAATGTTTTGGTGGTATCTCAGGTATGGCCACTAGCCGGCTGTACAGTAGGACTAGATTATCTTAGTGCCCGAATACCCGAATACATAGAAAACCCCATAGATCAAGAACGTTCGTATTTTACACTTACAAGCTTAAGTTTCCACTAGCAATGTGTTTTGTTTAGTGGCTTATATTCCACTAGCACGGTTTCACTGGTATGTCAGGTGAGCCACTAGCCGGCTATACAGTAGGCCTAGATTTTATCAGTACCCGAATACTGTACATAGGAAAACCCACAGATCAAGAACGTTCGTATTTCACACGAACAAGCTTAAGTTTTCACTAGCAATGTGGTTTATTTGGTGGTTTATTTTCTACTGGTGAGTCAGATGAGGCCACTAGCCGGCTATTATAGTACTTAGATTCAATTCCTAAATACCGTACATAGGAAAACACATATATCGAACGTTGACTTCGTAGTTCGTATTCTCCCCCTACAAGTATAGACGAAAAGCTAATTAAGCACTTACCTGCGATTACCTTAAAACTGAGAATGGAGGAAAAAGTGCAGAAATAGGAAGTGTTTTGTGGGGAGGGGGGCACAATGTCGGCCTTACACTGTGTGAGTAAACACATCGGCAGTCAAAAGTCCGGCAGGGCAAACAAAAAGCACAACCTGTACTGTAGTTGTTCGAACTGTACATGTATACTCACAACAACAGCCTTCTTCCGACATGGTGATCTTGGTTCTTGTTGTTGTTGGTGTAGTCCAAGTCTTCAAGATTTCTCCGAGAAGTCTTAGAATAAGGAACAGGTGAGTCTTCAGGTGTACTCCGGAAGAAGAACTAAAACGGTGCACCTGTTGTGGCCACTCCCTGTGTACTGACTGCCTGTGTAGCGGTGACGCAACGCGCTGCGTTACTCACAATGCGGATCTGACGGGGCTAATCACTATTAATCCTGGGCGGTGGCCGCTAACGTAACGGTCACTGGTCGTGGCTAGCCTCCGTAGCAGGCTTATAGAACTGGGGGTTTGGTGGTCTTCGGCTGTTTTCTGATTAGCCCCCGTAGCAGGCTTATAGAACTGGGGGTTTGGTGGTCTTCGGCTGTTTTCTGATTAGCCCAGTTCTAAAAAAAAACGGGGGTTCAACCAGGCCGGCTATGTTGTCTATATGCAATCAGAAAATAGCACATAAAAGATCCCAAAGACTCCGAAGACCCCCAGTTTTTGGCATGCTATGGAGGCTAGTGGCAGGGCAGGTAAGGTGGACAGAGATAACCTAGCCTGGCTGTTTTCCAGGGCCTTCTAGTTCCACGGCTCGAGGGCCAACAAGCCCCCAAGGCAATTATACCACAATCCCCTCAGTAATAGACCTTGATTCACTCTAACTCTGCGCCTATGTGTATGGCATCTAGGCTAGAAAAACACAAACACCCGAACTGTTGTGAACTATCCGGCACCGGTGAAACGGTACTAAACAAAAGGAGGATTGTTCATTTAAATTAAGCTACCGTTTACTCAAAGGGGTGTAGCGTTACTGTCCGGGGCTGGAGGTGAAAGGTAAGGCTGCAACCCGAGACGAGCGGTTAACGGCTCTCCCCCGATGAAAGAATCACGTTCGTGTCACAGGCTGGCATGTAGAAATCAATACGATCATATGTCCGAAGGGCAGCAAGTCAATATGGATAAAAATAGATCGTGCCATGTCTAATACGAACAATATTTGCTTGAACCATTCTATATATATATATATATATATATGTGTGTGTGTGTGTGTGTGTGTGTGTGTGTGTGTGTGTGTGTGTGTGTGTGTGTGTGTGTGTGTGTGTGTGTGTGTGTGTGTGTGTGTGTGTGTATAGGGAAGAGATATGTGTCAGGAAAAAATATATCAAAAGATAAAGTTTATAACATAATTCTAAATAGTCCTAATAAATCTATACACATATCTTACACACAATTACTACAAAAACTTACATTCTTCAAATTCTATATTGACATATCAACATTGCAGACGTAATTATAACAACGTAACCTTGCCTGAAAGGCGTTAATATTTACAAAGTTGAAAATTGACGCATATATATATACGCACATATATCATAAGAGCGGGCTCTTGTACATGTATATGTCATATGGGTCTTGGTCCTTTTTGATTACTTTTAACTTTAAAAGTCTCTTTTATAAAGGAAGTATAAACTGAACCCAAGATACCTGCCTGCTGCTTGCAAGTGAATGCATCAAAAGCGACCTCTAGCAATGAATAAACGCCTGCACTCAGCTCCTATAACAAACAGAGAATGAAATTTTTGTGTTCTTTTTAACATGGAATATGTGGTTTGTAATACTATAGTTGTGTGTGTATCATGTATATCAATCAAAGATTTATCACATAACATGTTCCTTGGACTTACGCCCTAGTCTCCTCCTGCAAAGTTCGCTGTTGTATTGCAGGACTGACTTTGAAAATGTTTCTCCTAGTCCTAGCTCAAAACGGAATATGTAAGCTCAACAAAAAGTGGCAACATTTATACCTTGTTTTGTAATATCCCCGATGGCTACCACCAAATATTTATTCTTTGTTTTGATTATTCACAAAGTAAAAAAGGGAGGGCAAAACACACCTGCATACGCACCTTTACAAGTTGCCCTCCCCATACAAAAACACATATCCAGCATCAAAATTTACATAGTTAATAAAAACAAGTATAAGAATACACAGAATACACATATTTGACAGTGTATGCGCAGCTATATGTTCTAGTTTAAGTTTTTGTTTCGTATATTTTGTTTACCTGTACAAAGTTTGAAAAAAAATCCGTTTCTCCTGTTTTGCATGTGATCGCCACGTCACACAGTCCTCAACTGATACTGTAATTCACTTTATGTTCACGGTAGCAAAATTTCAAAGTCTGAGAAAAATGGTCATGTTCACGGAACTATATATTCACGGTGGTGACAGGTGCAGGAAAAAGAAAGACCAGGAATTATTTGTTAACTGTAACGACAAGTTCACGGTACAGAAGTGACAGTGAAAACAGTGAACATAACAGTACCGTAAAAAAAATCTGGAATTACAGTAATCAAAAAGCAGGTGGTTGTCCGTTGACCGATAATTTGCATGTGGCTTCCAATACAGTAATTCCTGATTTTTTCACTGTACTGTTATGTTCACTGTTTTCACTGTCACTTCTGTACCTTGAACTTATCATTACTGTTAACAAATAATTCCAGGACTTTCTTTTTCCTGCACCTGTTGCCACCGTGAACATATAGTTCCGTGAACATGTCCATTTTTCTCAGACCGTGAACTTTTGCTACCGTGAACATAAAGTGAATTACCGTGAACATAAATAGAATATGGCTTCCAGTAATCTACATATGGCTACCAATAATTTGCATGTGGCTACCGATAAACAAAAATCGTCATCACCGGGCCTGCGCAGAGCCTGGACGAAGCTGCAAAGGCGCGATTCTATCATTCCCTACTCAGGCGTGGACCTGATCACAGGTCCACAGATCAAGTCCACTGATTGTGCGAGCGTCGTGCTCTGTTGGTTTCTGATTTTTTTTGGATTTCTCGGATTTGGATTTAGTTATGGCTGCTAACAATGGTGAGACTGTTTACTTGTGTATTGTTTGCTAAGCACGATTCCTAATCTTCCTGCGGAACTAGAAACACAATTCTGTCGGGAGAAATCGGCAACTTTTTAACTTATTACCTACGGTTGCGTAATCACTTGTATACCGGCAAATCAGACAAAGGATTTGTTTGATCGAATTGATCGATGACTCTAACTGCTCCTTTCTTCGTTCAAGAATACTTGTATAAAATTGCCTTTCGGTGTCTATATATGATTTATGAGTTTACCTGATTTTTACCTGAACAATCCGGAGAAAGTCGGAACTTCTGTAGCCTCCGTAGCAGGCTTATAGAACTGGGGGTTTGGTGGTCTTCGGCTGTTTTCATTAGCCAAGTTCAAAAAACGGGGGTAATTCAACCAGGCCAGCTATGTTGTCTACATCATATGCCATCAGAAAAAAGCACATAAAAGCTCCCAAAGACCCAAACCCCAGTTTTTGGCATGCTATGGAGTCTAGAACTTCTGATCGCCAACCTGAATTGCAGCCGAACGAATTCTGTACTCAGTAGTTTAACTTTAATGGCGGGTGGGTGGCCTCTCCTAGTTCCTTTTTCGAACACGGCCTTGCTATAGCTGCCAACCTACTAGTATTCTACTCTTTGAAAGCTGTTGTTGTGCACTATTTCTTCGGGAAGTTGCGATTCCATGCTGGAACTGTTTTTACCGCAAACGATATTTTTTTCGTTTCGTATTTCCAGTTTCGCTTGTTTTTTTTACAACAGGATAGCTCTTGTTGGCTTCTATATCCGTCCTGTTCTTGATGTATTTCATAATGCACACAACCAAATCGTTCGCATCACTTTCTGGTCAAGTGAGAAACGAACATGAAGTAGCTTACTACGTACCAGGAACTTTCTGACACATAAATTACGCCCCAATACTAACCCCTTTCCCCTCCCAATTTGAGCCACGCAGATCGAAAAAAATAGAACGCAGAACGCACAATCTTTCTCGATCGAGAGAATAGACCGAAATTAAAACGAAGTAACTTACAAGCCACCTTGAATTAAACAAAGATGCTTCACTTCGCGTTGCCAAATTATGTTTCTGTTGTTGCCGACACTATTTACAGTTTACTGTTACAGTTGCCACCTTGCTCGACAAACGCTATTTTTTCTAGCCTCCATAGCATGCCAAAAACTGGGGGGGGGGTTGGGTGCCTTCGGGAGCTTTCATGTGCTATTTTCTGATTGCATATAGACAACATAGCCGGCCTGGTTGAATCACCCTCGTTTTTTGAACTGGGCTAATCAGAAAACAGCTACGGAGCCTAAGCCTGCTACGGAGGCTAATTTTTTCCCCAACTTCGTTTGACCGAATCGACCCACCTCCCTCCTCTTTGTAACCGTGAAAACTGCGTTTTATAACGTGAAAATTGTGTGTTTTGGATGGATCGCTACGATTTTGTTGCATTATTTTGCCTGCTTTGGGTCGTATCAATATGAGAATCCAACAGGTTGTTTTTTTGCACCGACCGTTAAATTTGAAATGCCGCACGTGTGGTTTGAATTTCCCGCGCTTTATGCAAATGATCGGCAATTTTGATCTGCAGTTTTGGTACATGTACCTTATGTTCTGAACCATGATATGGTCACCATGCAATCATCAATGGCATGACAATTCATTCATTTAAACTAACTCATATTTATTCTCTTTCTCTTAGGGAACATGTGGATGGGCCCTGGAGTGCCCCCCTGGTTTGGCGGAGGAGGTGGCCATCATCATGCTAACAACGTAAGTTGACCAGTATTACTAGCCTCTACCAGGCTTCGGGAGGCGGCTGGAAAGAGTGGAAATCGGCCCAATACAATAGAGAGAGATAACATGTCAGGGGAGTTTGTCCACGGTGAGAGAACAGTCGGGTGCAGCAAAATGTTCTCTCCCAGCAGACAAACTCCCCTGGCATGTTATCTCTCTATTTGGCCAATTTCCACTCTTTTTGGCCGCCTCCCGAAGCCTGGTAGAGGCTACTTCATTACCTCCATGAAAAATGGAGGTATTGTTTTTGGTGCGTCTGTGTTCCCGGACATTTGTATCTAGACTAGCATAACTTTTGAACCTTTGGATGGCTTGTAATGATATTTGGTATGTGGGTAGGTGTTGGGTAGGCAAAGGTCAAGGTCGATTTTGGGCCTCCTGGTGGCTGACCTTGGTACTGCAGCAGAACTTCCGGTTTGAGGTCATTTGGATAATCATGAACCTGGGCTGACAGAAAATGATATTTGAGCAGGCTAGAGGCAGCCAACACCCAACCCCAATCAGTCTAGAACTCACGCATACCCACACAACAAGCAATGAAAATAGAACTCATACAGAAGCAAGCACTCTTTATTTCGATACACTTTAGCCAAAAGGCTAATCTTCCAGGGTTCATTCGAGAAAAGCATACAACAAATAACATTATGATAGTAAAAACACATGCATATAACACAAAAGGAGATTTACACTACATGTATATACAAAATAATACATGATCTAAAAACTAATCATGGAAGTCTTACTGTTTGAACATTTGGCGGATAGCTTTCTTAAAGTTAGATGCGCTGGTCAGTGTTTTGATTTGTAGTGGTAATTTGTTCCAAAGGTAGATTGCCCTATACTGAAAGGTTCTCTTTTTGCTGTTAATGTTTTTGGTTTCGGTAGCCCGAAACTTTGAGAAGTTGAGAATCTTGTTGAGCACTTATTAACTTGTGATTAGCCCACTCGATTGTAACACTTTATCAAAGACTTGTGCTATCCCTTATTATTTGATTAGGATATAGATATGTTAGGTTTTATTTGACATTAGGTGTTATTCAACACACCTATTTTATTGTTGTTACTCTCTTTATGTAGTTTGCCATACATTGTACCATGTGCAATTGTCGTGCATCTTTGATATTGTGTTTAACTATATCCACCACTCTGGAAGATTTGACCAATCTCATTAATGTTATGCTATAGGTATTGGTGCGCCAGCCACTTTTATTTTATGTTTATGTCATACTTTATGTCATCTTTATGTTAACATTTGTATTATGTTTTATGAGCAGCGGATTCACATAAGCACAACAAGTGCTTCCTATCCAATGCTCAAAAATCCATGTGAATAAAATAAAATAAAAATAAATTGTCGTGCAATAAAGTTCTTCTTATTAATAGATATTTTTCTGATGTTTACAGGCCCAGGCCCAGGAGCTGCTGCTGCTAAGGCGCTTCGTTCTGTTTATCACGCAAGTTGTCGTGCCCTTGCTGGTGAGTACTTCAGAATCTTCTTCTTCTTTCAGTTGAGTACCCTGGGTGCCAGCCAAGTTTACAGGCCGCTAACCGTTTTTTTCGGCAGCCAGGGTACTTCGCCCGCAGAGGAGTATATCGGCCCTCCAACTATGTATGGAGGGCGGCCAAACTCCCCCCGGGCTAGACTCCCCCGTAGCAGTAATTTAGACCGGCGGGCGAAAGGCTCTTGCTGCCCGAAGAACGAGTTTGGCACCCAGGGTATCAGTTGAGGCGACCACCTTCAACATTTTTTAATATTCTGTCGCCTATAGTTGATTTGATTTGATTTATTGAAATTGGCGTCCATCTTAGAGCTGTTCTGGTGATACTAACTGATGGCATGCAGCATATGTGACCTAACCATCTCCATCGTCTTTCATTCATTAGGCCACACAAATTTAATTTCTTGGTTAACGGATTCGCCGTTTCATTTTTTACTGATTTGCAAATAAAAATAAAAATCCAGAATCAACTGCAAAATGATCTAGTATGTAATCATATCCAATTGCTTGAGTAACTGCTTTTTGTCGTATCATATTACCTGGATGTCAAACCTTCATCGACGTGACCTGTATTCAGTTCGCAACTAGCAAAAATGCACACTAAAGGTCATTCTTTAATTGACGATGACGATTTTTTTTCCATCCCCCTCAGCCTGCCCCCCTGCAGCAGTTGGTCTTGGCCCACGCGCCGCCGCCTCCACCACCGCCACCCCCTGCTGCTGTGCCACTGCCACCCCCTGCTGCTGCGCCGGCTGGCTTCTTCTTTGGACCTCCTCCTCATCATCCTCATGCTGCTCATCATCTGCCGCCTCCTCCTCATCCTCCGCCGCATCCTCATCACATACACAACCCAGCCATCCATCTCCCGCCCATTCCCGGTAACCCTCCGCCCATTCCACACAATCTTCCACCAGTCATTCCTCCTCCTCCACCTCCAGTCATCCATAACCCACCAGCCAACAACAACAACCCGCCACCACCCAACAACGCACCACCTGCCAACCCACCTCCAGTTCAGAACGTCATCCAGCAACCGGCCAATCCTCTGCTCCCTCTTGTTCCTCCTGTCGCTGTTGTTCATCCTGTTGCTCAGCCTATCCCTCAACCTGCCGCTCAGCCTGTTCCTCCGCTTCAGCCAGCCGGCCAGCAACCCGCCGCCCAGAACGCCGCCCAGAACGCCGCCCAGCAGGCCAATGCCCCGAACGCCGCCCAGCAGGCCAACGCCCCGAACGCCGC